GCAACTATTTCCGGAACTATTATTTAACCCTCTATGTATCGAATTTTTTTTCTATAAAAAATGTGTGTAGTATAAAATTCAAAAATATCAACCTGTAAATACAAATTAATAATGTATTCGATAGTTTCAATGATTGTATTAAAACGAATATATCTTGTAACTTGGAAGTTATAATGACATTGAACTTTCACCCTTGAGTGTATAAAAATTGACGATAATTAATCACTTCATCTTATTCGCCACTTTACTATGCAAAATGAAACAAATCAACGAGATGCCAATATATTGGTATGTGACTTCACAGACATACGAGCTTATAGAGGGTTAACACTAGAACGACTGCACCCTTTAAAGTGACGAGTTTTCTTATTTCTTAATTATTGAAAAATTTGAAATGATGTGAAAAATAAATAGTTTTACTTCAATGCAATTTTTATAAGGATTGTTGCAATGTTAAAAAAACGTCTCAACTGGAATTTTGTCTGAAAACCCAATAAAACAGAAAAATTTGCGTTTGCAATATCTCTTACATAACGAATACTTCCTGAGATAATTGCGTTCACAGATTAAAATGGTGCACCCTATATAAGAAATAAAATGCATGTAGACTTCTGACCTTTTAACGTAATACGATTAGTGTGATCTTGAAAAATTGGGTTTTTTATATTCACAATTATTCCTTCGATAGTTCCAAACCGATGTCGATAATTTTCGATTGAAAGTTTTAGTAACGAATCTACGTGAACATTTACTACCTCCAGTTTACAAACAAAACTTGTTTCATGCGCAGGCATGTATAACGAAAATGTAAAAAGAAATGTATGAGACACTAAGAAAACGGACCAAAAACATAAGTAGTTTCCCCTGACGCTGCCAACTGTAACCTATCATTTCATCTTGATTTAATCTTGATAGCCGAACGAAACGAGGTAATTCGACACTTGTACGCAACCGTGTCTTCCGATAATTTTCAGCTTTCTTATTTGTTCTGTTAAACGCCGTCGCGTTTAACGACAGTATATTATAACGGTATAAATCTTAATTATATTTGCATTATTCCAAGACAGATCGATCTGAAGCCAATCATCATTTATAATCGCGTAAATACTGCGTGTTACCACGTTCACTGACACGGTAGACACCGATGAGCGGAGTTTGCAAATTACTTGAAAACAATTATAATTCGTAAGATAACTAATGTCGAGTAACAATGTTCAATACCATAAATAACTATGTAGATAATCGTGTAACGTAAGAATTATTAATTATAAACAAACAATTGATAATTGTTCCTTTTTATCTTAATACTTAGCCAACCGAACGGATTTTTCCTTTAGCACTTTTTCTTTAGCAACGCACTGGCATTCATTTTGTTTAATATTTTTTGTTATTCAGTAATTCCAAAACGAGTGATATTTACAATTCATTAAATACTTTTCTCGCTTTTATCAAATACAATCTTTAATAAACGCTGTTAAATGAGTTTAATTAAAGTTAACGAAAAAATTTCGAGGTAGTTGCCTAAGTGTTAACTACGGAAGAATAAGTGATACACAAAACACTGAAATTTTTCGTAGCAATTAACGTGTTAACAGTTAGCGAGCCGAATGGAGAAATCTCCTTTTTTCCTTTAGCAAAGCATTACTAATTTATTAAGTCTAAAATTAGAGCCATTTGCAATTCAAACATCTTTCTTGCTTTTGCAAACAACAATTTTTTAATAAACTCAGTTAAATGAGTTTAAATTACAGTTAACGGGAAAGCTTATAGTTATGGTGTTTTTTAGACGGTTATAAAAATTATATTATTTTATATTTCTTCAGACATTCGTTATAGTATTCGAGTGAAACTATTTATTTTTAAAATCATCTCAAATATCCAATTTTAACCAGTTAACTATGTTTGACAAGTATTCGCGTCATCATAAATCTTGAAATTATATTAATCCTTTCAACGATGAATTCTTTATTTTATCAAATAAACATGCAATTCTTCCTTCTTTTGCTCTAATTTTTCATTAAAATATATTTTTTGTTTTGATTTTATTGCACGCAAAACGAGACATTTTTCAAACTAAATTCCACAGTTAACTGGTTAAGGTATCAATAGCAGCGAAACAAGAAAACCGAAACCAATCCGTTTGACTGGTACAGTAGTTCTAGTGTTAAGTGTTAAGATTGAAAGAATTTCAGTCAGCAAATTAAACGAATCAACCAAATAATCCAATTAAATCGCAATGAAGATCTTCGAGTTCAGCCGATGGAAAGCTCGGTTCTCTGTTTCTCGTCTTTCATACGTCATTCGTGACGTTTCATTTAAATGATGGATTCGCCTGTCTCTGCCCCCAGCTCCCACTTCGTTTGTGTGTAGATTTTTCAAGCGCGTGGGAAACGCGAGGCGAAGAGCGCGGATCATCCTTTTGCCGGCTCTCGACGGGTTAATCTGCTTCTTCGATCTCGATCTTCTTAAATCATCGTTCCAACGTGTCACGGACAACGGTTCACGGTGGAAGTGTCTTGAACTTGTCGCTTTCCCTCTCTTTTCCAAGCTTGGAAAGGCGGTCGTGCTAATTCGCATTTCGAATTTCCGCGAAACCGGTAAATCCTCTTTACGGTCGCGTACACTGCACGTAAACACAACGATCGCTTGCTGTTAAAAGTCAGTTTTTTTTGTAAAAGTCATTTCTTTGGTGATAATGCCACTGGAAACGTTCGCGGGTTGATTAAAGATGTTTTCTGTCGCTGGGGAGAATAACAATGATAACAAGAGTAACGATGTTACAGGCTGCAATTCACTGTCGAAAACTATTGCGCTTTTAGGGACATTCAGTGAAGCTTCGTTATACGATGTATAGTATGTTTCAACTTATACACGGTTGACATTTTTAATATATGAATACAATTATCACTAGGGCTGTTCGTTATTTCGAAAATGTCACGAATGCAATTTTTTCTGTTCTGAGGGAACAGTGATTTTGTTTCATTGATTTGTCTTCGGGTGTAATTCAGATTCCTTTCTCTCAATCGGTGGGGTAAGTCATATCGATACAAATATGTCAACCTATCTAGGTAGAAAATTCATCAAAACAGAAAAAATTGTGTGTGAGACATTTTTTAAACAACGAATAGTTTTGGAAATAATTTGATTTATATATCAGATAAATATCTTCAGTTGATTAATAAGTTTTATATAGGATAAGCAGGAGTTACAACAGTTTTTTGTTTTCTTGTGATAGTTGGCTGATATAGTTATATGTCAAAAAAGTGCTTAGAATTGAAAATGGTAACGTTATTACAGTTTTGTTTACTATTAGATAACAATATCAGTATAATAACGTTACCATTCAATTCTATAGTATAACTATAATAAAATGTAATTATATCTATAGTATAATATAATATAGTACAGTATAAATATAAATAGAAAACTTGTTCACTGTTAGATAATAAGTTTTATATTTGCCTCCAAAATTTTGTTATTACTATATATCTTCACTCTTACAGAGTTTACGTCATATTTGAGCTCATTTTTACTAAGAAAACACTTGGAATCTTATGGTGACGTTATCATAATAATACTATTAACAGTAAATAAGTTTTGTACCCATCTATAAGTATTTCTTTTAAACTTTTACAATATTTTATACGACACAAAATCAACCTGTAGGAAATGTGTCACAGCTGCAGCCACTCGCATTAATCTGAACTTACTGTGTATCCGTATAAAGCATTCGTAGGCGAATACGGCGCCGAAAGACGGTAAAAGTGAAGCGTAAGAACGGTTCGCTCTCGGAGTTAACACAGAACTTTCTTTTAATGAACCATGCTCATTGCAATTTATGTCACGTTTATATTAATCCTCATTAAGGAAATGTTCTCAACCAGATCAGCAATATTTCTACAGCCTAATTATTTTATTATTATTAAGTGCTTTAATTATTGTATGTAATTATTCGTCTGCCGCTCGAAATCCGTTATCGATGGAGTCGACGACATGATTTGTTTCATAGTTGTTTGATTTGTACCTTGATTCGACTATTGATACCGAGAAAATATCTCCAATCGTATATAAAAATTATATATAATAATATTAAATATGACATTACAATGGTAAAAAGAAAAAGAATTTGACTTTGGTCAACCTTTAACCTTTACAATCCGAAAGGTACTCGATTCTTTACTCCATTAAGAATATTTGAGAAATATTTCAAATTGTACATAGGTTATGTATGATATACAATTATGATATCAAGTTTATCTCAATGTAGAATTGTCCCATGTTAACGTGCTGACTGTCAATCTAGGTATCCTCAGAAATTTTGTGAAATGAAAGCGATTTATTTGATAAACCAGCAACTTTACAACCACGATTTATCACAGTTATTTTTTTAATATCCGTGTATCATATATTACAATGAACAGTAAACATTAATTTTCAACTATAGTCAAAGAATCGTGTCATTCATGTTTGACCGACGCTGCAGTTCAAATTGAATCGAAATTGAATTGAAGCCGATTTAATATCTGTTCCGAAGAACCGGAACCAAAATCAATACAGCTAGCAACATTTACGACTTTATTTCGGTTCTCCATAACTATTTCAATCGGAACCAATGCATAACGATACATTAGCTGCTCATCGGTCAAATTTAAACCGGTTCATTGGCTTTTCAGTTTTCATACTTAAAATAAATTTCCTTGTTATCGAGTGTGATACCATGAAATATGATAAAAATGACTTCGAAGTTACCATTTTATACATTTTACAGATTCTGTAAGCTAAAGCTACACGTGCATCAAGTAAAATACGTTTGGCAACAATTATTTAATATTCCGTTGAAAGGGAAATTTTCAAAATCCATATACCTACTGCACCACTTTCCCTTAGTTCTTTTATAGACTTAATCAATCTGATACCTCGCACAACAGTCCGAAACCGTTATCTCCAGAACCCTATTAACCCCTTCCCAACATACAAAGAAGCAAGGTGAAGTAGCTTACCGTAGCGAGTGGACCCTCCTCATTTCGCGTCAAACGGTTCCTTAGTCCTTTAGTGCTCGCTCTTGCCCGTTCGTGTGGTCGGAGTGCTACTTCCGGTTACCGTTCCGTGCAAACTCGGAAGACTCAGTTAGACGTTCACGGTGCGTTTATCTGGAGGGACGGTTGGTCAGCGGCGGAACACTTTCCTCTTCGTGCAATGTGCCGGGCACGACGACGACATCGAGCCACGCGACGACGGTTCGGCGGATACTGAGGCGGCCGGGGCCCCGCGATAGCCTCTTCACACGGGGGACGAGTGAAAGCGAGAGGTGCCACTCGCAGCACCAGCGGTTGCCGACGACGGCGAGTCACGAGT